CCCCCCACAGCCCCGCAGCCCGACCGCGCCCAGCCCGGAGAGGACAGCACCAGGAAGCGGCCCTGCTCAAGGCCACAGAGACCCCCGGCAGCGTCTCTCAGCAGACGGGTATGTGGTTTGTCGGCGTTGGGGAAGGGAGCCGCGGGGCTCCTGAGATTGCGGTGGCCCGGCCCGGGGCGGTGTGTGCGGGCGGCCCCCAGGCTGCTGGCACCTGCCTCTTTTGTCTGGTGCCACCGGGCTAAAAACGGGGAGTCGGACGAGCATGCCCTCACCCCCGCCTCAGCTTTCGCTGTGTTGTTAGTGGAGAAGGCGAGCCAAGGCGGAGGAGCTGGGCTAGGTGTTTGTCATTGTCATAACTCGCCACGAATGAAGAGCAAGTCTGCGCCTAGAAGGAGTGACCGGGCCAGGCCTCTTATTGTGTGCTCTCCTGCCGCCCGGGAGGGTGGTGTGTGCTGGAAGATAGAGCGATCTGTGCTGCAGTGTGGGTGTTGCAAGCACATTTGCAGGGCCTCAAGTTCTTTCGGGGACAGTGAGGCTGCTTATATACAAATTAGTACCTGCAGTGCTAAAAGCACGCGGAGAGGAACCGGCAATTTCCTCCTAGAGGGAGCACAAGCACAGCCCCGCATTGCCCCACAAAATGCATGGCCCATGGACATGGACAATAGGGTGGTGAAGGGGAGTGGGGGGAGATGAGTAGGGGTTGGGCGGAGGCGGGTAAAGGTGTGTGTGTGTGTGGGGGGGGGGAATGGGAGACATCTGTAATACTGTCAACAATAAAAAATAATAACAATTAAAAAAAAGAGGCTGGCCCTAACTGGTTTGGCTCAGTGGATAGAACGTCGGCCTGCGGACTCAAGGGTCCCAGGTTCGGTTCCGGTCAGGGGCATGTGCCTTGGTTGCGGGCACATACCCAATAGGGAGTGTGCAGGAGGCGGCTGATCGATGTTTCTCTCTCATCGATGTTTCTAGCTCTTTATCCCTTCCCTTCCTCTCTGTAAAAAAATCAATAAAATATATTAAAAAAAAAGAGGCTGCATTTGCAAACCAGTTGTGCTAGGAATCCCTGCTGGATTTGGCAAGGAGATGCTGGTAGGAGATGGAGCAGGTGAAAGGTTTCATTCAAACCGGCTCCTTCTCTCCACACCTGTGAATGCATGTCCACATTATGGTGCACACTGCAGACTGTTCCCAAAATACGTTTTATGAATGTTCTCAAATAAATCGCCTTTGAAAGGAAAAGGAAAGTAGGCCAGCGTTTTAACTATGAAATGTCAATGGATGTGGGCTGGGAGGGATTTTAAGAGACGTTATATGTAGGAACATTATGAAGGATCCACATGCATCCTGTGATGTTTTCGTCCAGGGTGGTGCCTGCATTCTGAAGGTGTGTGTGGCCTCTAATTCTAGCCTGTCCATCCACCTGCACTCTAATCTACTGGCAGGAATATGCCTTGAGACTTCCAGGTGCAGCATCAATTTAGATGTGGTAGGATTTATGACAAATTGTGTCTTGGTGTGTGTGTGTGTGTGTGTGTGTGTGCTCGCGTGCACGCTAGATGAGGGGGAATCTTGGAAACAAACTTATGAGCTCATCTAGAGGATGAACACAGGTTCCTCAAAATGGTGAGAAGTCCCACAGAATAATGGAGGATGCTGATTTGTTGGCCTGGAAAAGTTTATAGGAAAATCTGGATAAGATCCATGATCCCCTTCTTCCCCACCCACATGTGTGATCTTTGTGACTAAGGCAGTATAGATACTTTCTTGGCACCACAAATGTGTGGCTTAGGCCTTAGCTACCTATGGTCTGTAAACACGTGGCTGTGTGCTTTAGCCAGCTCCCTGTGCAGAAAGTGGGAGATTGTAGAGGCCCAGGGAATCTTCTTGGTTCAAATATATGACTAAGCCCATGGAGAGCTGAGCCAGCCATGGCAAGGGAAACACACCTATTTTGATGCCTACTGGTAGCTGTAATCTTGAAAATGATTTCAGTTTGAGTGTGGCTTTTCTTTGTCACCAACATCAGTGCCTACTTTTGGGCAGCCTCAGTGAAGGACAGTAGAAGATATGTATGGTCTCTGCCCTGATTGAACGTGTAGTCCAGTTTGAGGATATGTGCAAATAAAACAAAATCAACTTTTTTTTCTATTTATTTACCGTTTTTTTCATTTGCTGTGGTATTCTTGGCTTTAAAAGCCTGTTCCTTTAAGGAATTCCAGTAATTGCTACAATTTTTGGTCTTTGCAAATTGCGACTCAACAAGAGCCCTTTAAAACTAGATTTGCACTCTCTGGTAGTACATCTGTGCCATCCTTTGCTAGGGTCCTACTTGTTTTCTTTGGGTTCATATAGATTTGGGGGAAAATCCTAGGGTTGGAGGGATGATTGCTGGCTTTAAAAAGAAACAAAATATTCAAAAGCCAATCTGGCCTTTATGATTTACAAAGTTTGATGAGTTTAGTGAATTGGCATGAGTACTGGCAGTATCATCTTCCCAAACTCATTTTAGAAAACAAAGAACTCCTTTTAAAAACAAATTTATTTTAAAAAGTAGGAGTATTTATGATACCATGGGCAAAATATTGGTTCTGTTATTAAATTAATAGCTGCCGGAAGGATGGGATAATTGTTTTGTAATGATATAACTTCAAAATCAATGAAACCAATTCATATCTACCTATATATGCTATAACTTTTCCTGGAAAATACAAATGAAGAGGCATGAGGTAGTTTTCATATTTGGAAGAAAAAATTACACTCCAGATTTAAATCACACTCCACTGTCTCCTCTCCCACCCAGTTGGGGTCAGCAATAGACTAATGAGCAGGTGAAGGAAGACATTAGAGGCCTGCTGATCACTGTCTCCTCTTCAGAGGTCTTCAGCAGTTAAGTAACCTGCCCAAGGTCACAAAGCTAGTTAGGAGTGAGGGCTTAAAAAAGACCCTACTTTATATGCCTGAAGGGTCTAATCTCAGGGGGTCTAGGCCTCTAGGACAAGAGAGTATGGGGCAGCAAGGAATGAGTGCCAGTTTCAGAGTCAATCAGAGAAAACCTGAGTTTAAATCACAACTCCCTCAATTATGACTTTGGGACCCTGGGTATATCCCATATTCACCCTTAGTCACAATATTACCTACCTCATTGGATCATCATGAGATTTAGAAGAGAATATTTAGCATATTACACAACTGATTGCTGAGTAATAGTGTCGGGCACATAGTAGACATTCAATAAATATTACCTTTTCCCACTTCATTCATTTCAGAGGACACATGCTTTTGAGCATAAATTTTTAGCCAATGGATCAGAGGTCATGGAAAGGCCAGGGAGGCTTGGCAGAGATTTTGGTTAGTTTGGACTGACCTTGGGAAAGAGGACATCATCCCTGTGGTGGGATTTCGGGAGCACTCATAGGTTGTTGCCCTAAATTTTCCATTTCCTGTATATTTTATTTCAACATTCCTGAAATTTTGTCTTTAGAACTTCTTTTGTTTGAATTCGGAGGTTTTTCCCCCTTTTCTAGATTGACCTGATAAAACATGGATCCTCCAAAGGGGCAACACCAAAAGCCTTTATCAACTAAACCCTTAGCAAGGATGAACTGATTCCAGGGGCAGCTTGCTGATAACAAAGACTCTACAGAAAGTAAAATGGGGACCATAGAGTGCAAGCATATCTTTCAGAAGGTCATGAGTGGAAATCAGGAAGACTCACTAGGAGCCTTCCTTACCAGAAGGCAGAGATTCTATTCCCACTAGCTCTTTCTTTGACAGAGTCAGGAACAGAAATACAAATATTAATACTTATCACATACTAGATACTATCTTAAGTGCTTCATGATTAATATTAACTCTGAAGTAGGTACGATTATCATTTCCATACTTGGTTAAGGAAATTGAGGCTTGAAGATGTTGACCAATTTGCATAGCTAGTACCAGGTCAAGTCTGGATCCACATCTTGATTGCCTCAAAGACAGAGAGAGCCTGAGTGGAAGGAAAAGCAAAGCCCTTTGATCCTTTCTTCTTATTGTTGTTTTCCTTGATCTTCTCTCACTTCTCTTTCTCTTCCTCCTTTTTCTTGTTTTTTAATCCAATTTTTCTGAAGCACTAAATGTAAGTAAATGAGTTATGGTGAATTCAGGTTTTAAAATAATTTCTATTGAATATGTGAATATGTTGGAAAATCTTAAGTTGGTAAAATTTACAGATTGATTCCATTTGCTCTCCATCCGGCCTTGAGGACCATAAACACTAAGTAATGTAGACAATCTGATTATGAAATGCTGCCCACTGTCTTTTTCTCCTGGCCCACCACCTCTCTTTAGCTCAGTGGTTCCCAACCTTTTTTTTAGCCATGCCCCATCTAAGCATCTCTAAAATCCTGATGCTCCCCCCCTCCCCCGTAACATATAATTGTTATTATTCAAAATGTGAACTCCTATTCACATGGAGGAAGCCTAAAAGCCCATTGGTCTAAAAAACTTCCAAAAACATGGCATCCATGAAAGAGAAAAATAAAAGAACGAAAGGATGGTTGAAGTACTGAGGAAGAAATCACTAAGAAATTGTGAAAAAAATAATAGTAATATGAAATGATATGAAAAAATAGCAAATAAAGTTTCAAAACATAGTAGAGAACTGAAATGCATAAATATCTCACAATATATATTTATAAACTGTATATGAGACCCCTAGAACCACAAGAAATGCAAAAAATTCACTGTTAATGACTCATTCTCAAATTGCCCCCCTTAAAAATCAAATTGCCCCCTCTGTGGGGTGAGTGCCCCACGTTGGGAACCACTGCTTTAGCTGAATGGTGGTGTGAAAGCTGACTTCCTGCCTGCCACCAGGATTAGCACACTGCCCTGCAGGCAGCCTGGAGCTTCGGAGTCAGGCAAACCTGGGTCAGTGTTCTTGGTTCAAGCATTTCTCATCTGGCTTACGTTGGTAAATTTAGGAGATTTTTTTCCTCCGTTTTGGTTTCTTCATCCGTAGATAGGAATCATAATACTTTGAAAGGTTTGCTATGACTGTTGGAAATAATAGCTGTTCAAAGCCTGATATGTTGTTAGGTGGTCAGTACAGAGGAGCTGTTTCTAATAAAACTAAAGTTGATTAATAAGCTATTCGCACTGGGCCTGCCTCTTCTTTTTCTTTGCCATCTTCTTTCTCTCCCAACTTGATAATTCATATGAAATATATCATCATTTCTAGCACTGTTTCCACCAGCTTCTCTCAAGTTGAGTCTCTCAAATCATGATCTTAAATAACATAAGTATGTGTCTCTGTTTTTGTTGCTGTGCCTCATAGATTCAACTTGAACTGCGTCATGTCCTTTGGCAGAGACATGGAGCTGGAGCACTTTGATGAGCGGGATAAGGCGCAGAGATACAGCAGAGGGTCACGGGTGAACGGGCTGCCCAGCCCCACACATAGCGCCCACTGCAGCTTTTACAGAACCCGCACGCTGCAGACGCTCAGCTCCGAGAAGAAGGCCAAGAAAGTTCGTTTCTATCGAAATGGAGATCGGTACTTTAAAGGGATTGTGTATGCCATCTCCCCAGACCGGTTCCGATCTTTTGATGCCCTGCTGGCTGATTTGACCCGAACTCTGTCGGATAATGTGAATTTGCCCCAGGGAGTGAGAACAATCTACACCATCGATGGGCTCAAGAAGATTTCCAGCCTGGACCAACTGGTGGAAGGTGAGCATTATGAGATAGCTCCCCAGTGACCTTGAAGAACAGTTCTCACATGTCCACATTGCTCGAGCCAGCTCCCACTTGATCTTTAAGAGCAGCATTCTGCCTTGTGGTGCTGATTCTTATTGTTTCACACATTTGCGAGTTCACGTTGCTGTACTTACCATAGTGTAAAAAGAAAAGAAAAAAAACCTAATGGTATTAGGTCAGCTAGCTCATGGTAATGAGCTGAGGGAATAAGTGTCTTAATTCTACAGCATACTATATATTTTTTTTCTCACACCTATGGTACATTAATTTTAAGAGTCCATTTTTATATCTTTAATCATATAGCTCATATTCATTTCAAGATAAAAATTGAGCTCTTGCTATCACATCAGAAAGTGCTTGAACTACAAATAATGAATTGATCATGAAATTTTAGAGTTGAAAGGAATCTTAAATAGGTACCAAACCCATTAATTTTATCACGGGAGACTGAGGTCCAGAACATTCAAGTGACATGTCTGTGGTTAAATACTAGTTAGTGGTGACGTTGGATCAAAAATTAGTTTTTCTGGCAACTCTTTTCAATATGATGCTTCCTTTTAAGTTTTAAAGGCTTGTTATCTTTCTGTGGTGTTTGAGGATACAAAGGAATTGATCTTTCCAGTTTATTTTTTAAGTACAATTTAGGTTAACAGTAATTATCTGTTTAGATGTGAAACTAGGATTCTGGGTCCACTGGTGAGGCTTGGTGTCTTGTGCAAGCAGAGTATGTTTCCTATTTTGAGCTACTCACTCCCAGCCTGTTGGAGCAGAGCATAAAACCTCTAATCACCTTAGAAATTTTAAGCAAAGGAAAATGGCTTAGAAAGAAATAACTGGCATTAAATTCAAGCTAAGGTGTAAAACAAGATAGCTGATCCTCTTTGGAGAGTAGGTTTTTCTAAGATTGAGGTCTCAAGGTCCTGGTGAAGTAATACACAGCACAAAAGAATGTGGAAAGGAAGTTTGAAGGTTGGAAGTGCTTGATTTCACCTTTACTCCAAATATATTTGCCCAGGCTCTGTTGTCTTATTGGATCCCAGAGGAATCCCTTGAAAGTACTGATCTCTCTCTCTGGTGCAGATAACAGGAAGCATCTTTTTCATCCTTGCCTACCTCTCTTCCCCTTCATGCAGTTTTGGATTGCTCTGCCCTGACCACACACAGGCAAGCCCTCTTGTCCTCCTTTGGAGGCAGAGTTTGTATGTGATTCAAGGATGAGGGCTTCTGTGTCTTTCTCCCATTTTCCTTCCCTTTATCCTTTGGCAGTCATGCCAGTGCAGTCACAGTATGACTGGACTTGCGAGGGTGTGGAGGAGCCTGGCTTTGGTGTGTTTATTTTGTGGGAATTCTTATCCCTTTTTGATAATTTGTCATCCTGCCAAGATGCCTGCAGACTTGGCGTTTTTCCTTCTATTCAGATGTTGGAACTTCCAGTAAATTAAAGGGGAAGAATGAACATGAAATCTTTCTGTATCAGTGTTGTCCTTTTCATGACCTTGGAAAATACAAGGATAAAGAAAGCATTTGATGAGCTATTCCAAGGGATATGGATAAAGATCAAATGCAAAGTCAGGTGCATGGCTAGTCACCAGACTATCCCTTTGAGGGCTGATGGTATTGTAGGGAAAATATGCCAAGATTTCAAAGCACATAAGCACATGCTAAGAAAGCCAGGACTGATTTCTCACTCTGTGCTAGAATCACATGTGCAATATCTCTGATGGGAGGGGCACTTCAATCAGACCCTCCCTTTCCCCACCCCCAAGACTCATCTTTATTGAGAAGTGGCCAGAGATATTCCCAGGATACACCCCTATTAAGAAGAGGGTGTGGGAGATGGGAAATGACAACAGTACTTTACACAAAGTCATGGCTTGCTTCCCACAACTCTGTCAGTTTTTTAACACAAAAGAATGCCTGCTCTGAGAGACTGCTGTCCTGACTGAAAATAATAATAACTCACCGTTATTGAGCATGTGTCTTGCATACATGAACACGCTTAATTCTCACAGTGATTATAGGAGGTGCTGTTATCACCCTAATGTTAAGATATGAAAAGTGAGGCACAGTGTGATTAAATGATCTGCTCAAAGTCACACAGCAAGAAATGATAGGGTTAGAGTTTCAACCCAGGAAAGCTGGTGCCAGAGCTTGAGCTCATAACCGCCACTAATAGGATACTGAATGAGGTAGTCATAATGGCTTTTAAATAAAATTTTATTGTATTAGCTTCTTCTTGAAAACAAATGCTTTAAACCTTGACTTCATTTCAGGAATGACAGATACTGTTCCGAGAAACACTTTAATATTTTCATTTGCCTCCAGATATTTTTCTTTCCAATCAATGTGAAGTAACTGCAGAAGGAATATTCTGATGTTAAATAAATTTCTTTTGGAAAAAATACCTTTTATCTGATTGAATGGATGCTAACTTCAGTACAGTATGTTCATATATTGGCTGCATTTTCAAACAAATTCAGTTTAAATATTTTTTTTTCTCTTGTAAAACAGTGACAATCAACATGCAGCTGTACTTAGTGTTAAAATAGCTGGAAATTAATTTAGATTTGCCTCTTTACCAATTACATTTTTGCTTAGCCTGTTAAACTGCAAACAGTTACTTCATATTCATCATTAGGTTCATATATCTTACTTTACATACTAATTTTGTGTAAACCTCAATGCATGTTATTAGCTTCTCATTTCCCCTTCCACATATGATGATGTTTGAGTTTTAAATTAAATCTGTTTAGTAGGTGTAGTGACAAATGTATTTAACTTGTAATTTTTCTAAAGTTTATTCTTTCTCACTTATCTCAAACAAAAATTCTGAATTACAATGACACGTGAGGTTCTTTGTCTATAACAGTTTTGTGGTCACTATTACTGTTTTAGTATTATTATACATAGATTATTATGCCTAAATTTGTTTCAGTGTATTGAGAGAGCTGCTATTTACCTGAAGTATGCATGTGAGAGAGTGTATATGTGTTTGTGTATGCATGATTGTATGTGTGTCTATCTATGCATATATGTGTACATATACACATGCACACACATACTCTTAAGAGTAAACAGTGGATGACATTCATAGTTGTTTGCTTTCTAAATGGACTTATATGTTTTAAAAAACATGGTGCTCAATAAGGAAAACTGAATTGTAGGCTTATTTCTGCAAGTGATTAACCTTGAAACTTAGCCACATTTCCCCAATATTGCCTCTCTTTCCTCAATTTTGACACTTTATACTCCACTGTAAGTATGTAAATGTTGTGAAGCAAGGCCGTTTGTCTAGTGACTTTGTTTATTGTGTTTTCTGCCATGCAGATTTACAAAATTTTATATAATCATATGTGTTGGAGTTTTTATTTATGGCTTGATTTTTCATGCCTCTTGGGTCCTCTGTATGCTGAGATTAGAAAATTGTTTCCCTCATTTTTTCTAGTGTTTTTATGTTTTCATTTAAAGATTATTTATTGATTGACTGATTTTAGAGAGAGGAAGAGAGAGAGAGAGAGAGAGAGAGAGAGAGAGAGAGAGCGCTTTGTTGTTCCACTTATTTGTACATCTATTGGTTGATTCTTATATGTGCCTTGACCAAGGATCGAACCCACAACCTTGGCATATCGGAACAATGCTGTAACCAACTGAGCTACCAGACCAGAGCTTTTATGCTTTTATTTTTTTTAAATATTCTAATGGAAGTCATATTAGTACAACATCTGAGGTAGAGATTCAATTATTTTTTTCTAGGCTACCTGCCACATTTTTTTATTTTAATTTTGAAATTAATTTGGACTAATAGAAGTGTCACAAAGAGAGGGAGTTCCCATATGCCTTTCACCCAGCTTCCCATAATGGAACATCTTACACAACCATGGTATAATTATCAAAAGTAAAAATTAACTTTGGAACAATGCTAGTCACTAAACTACAGGCTTTATGTAACTTTCATCAGTTTTTCCATTATTGCCCTTTTTTTTAGGGTTCCAGAATCACACATTGCAAGTAGGACCCATGTATCCTTCATCTCTTCCAAGAGTGACAATTATTCAGTCTTTCCTTGTCTTTAATGACTTAAAGTTTTTGAAGAGTACTGGTCAGTTACTTTGTAGAATGTCCCTCAATTTGGGTTTATCTGATGACTAAGTTGAAGTTATGAGTTTGTAGCAAGAATTCCACAGAAGTGATGCTGTGTCCTTTTCAGTGCATCAATTTCCAGGGTACATGATATTGCTGTGTCTCATTAATGGTAAGATTAACCACGATCAGTTAGTTAGGGTGGTATCTGCCAGTTATCTTCACTCTGAAATAACTATTTTCCCCTTTATAATAGATAAATATTGTGAGGAGAAACTTTGAAGCTATGTAAATATCTTGTTTCCTTCAACTTTTGCCCACTTTGGCATTTATTGGTAGATTTTTGCCTGTAGCAATTATTATTGTGGTGTTTCAATGTGACTTTCTGATTCCCTCTTTTCTTGCCTCACCTTTAAACACTTTTCTGTCTTTGGGTCATCTACTAATGATGTCATCGAGTCTCATTATTTTAATCATTCTTTTAAGGCCAATTACTTCCAAATCAGACCTTTCTTCTGCATACCAAACATCTGGATATATTTAACGGGTACTCTAATCCTTAACCCTTTAAAAGTTAACATGATAAATGTGAACTCATTCTTTTCCATTATCGAGGATTTATTCCTCTTCTCGGGTTCTGAATCTCATTAAATGGGGTCACCATCTAACTTAACATCACCCTTGACTTTTCCTTCCATGCCTTCCTCAAATCTAAGCTGTCATCAAATTCTTTTGATTCTGCTTAAGACATTTCTTCAATTTGTTCAGTCCTCTCCACCACCATTATTATAGTTTCCAAGTCCTTATTACTGTTTTAACAATCTTACTATATATATATATATAGTAAGGACAACACTGATACAGAGAGGGAGGGAGAGGGAGAGATAGAAACA